CAACTAATGTATTAATTAACTAATCATTTCAGCTCAAGCCAAAAGAAGGCTGCAACCAAAAACTCAAGTCCTCTCCCTAGACCAACCTTGAACAATGATTTTACCAGGATCCATTCAATACTGTTTAATTCTGTTAAGCAAATGTAACCTTTAAAGTGTAGTATGGCCCTATAGGACATTCTGAAGCAGTCAAGAGAAAGTAAATTAAAACTGGCCAATGTAGTTCATTCCATCCATCCATTAGCTATGCCACTTATCCCTCAGAGGGCTGGAGTCAATTACAGATTGGGCAAGAGAAGGGGTGTACCTTGGACAGGTCGCCAGTCTATTTTTTACACCATGGGAACTTGAGCTTCCCATACCCGTAATCTGGTGGACTGTAAAACTCTACTTTTCCACTGTATTTTTCCCCTTGTTGGTCTCTGTTCACACAAGGGCGGACCTGTGTAGGTCCTCTCTACACCCTACACAGCTGAGCAGAGCATTGAGTCAACAATTATAATGCTCCTTAATTATGGTGCAACAAAATCTGCCAGTAATGCAATGGCCACTGAGCTCCTGGAAGCTGAATCAGGAGAATTTAGCTCCAATAACTCATCTCCAAAGCAGGTGGTGGTCAGTGGCAATAAAAGCAGACAAGGGGTAAAAGTTCTGTTACAAGTTGGTAGGCTTCTACAGTAGAAAAGGCCTATATCACAGGACTGACACACAGTCTGACAACCATTCACACCTGTGAGAATGTACAGTCACCAATTAATCTAGTCTGCATGTTTTTGGACTATGGGAGGAAGCTGGAGTACTTGGAGCCCCCACCCCACACAGGCAAAGGGAGAACACTGCAAACGCCAAGCCCCAGTTGGCCAAACCCAGAACTTTCTCGCTGTAAGGGAGCAGTACTAAATACAGTACAACAACACCATACTGCCCGGTACTGTAGTTTCACTTGCAAACAACTTCCTCCAAATCCAAGTGAGCTTAAAGCACAGGCTGTATACACCAAGGAAAATTTATGGACATCAATGATTATCTCCACTTCCATGTCACCATGCTTTGGAATCCGATGGACTGCTAAAAAAAACCTTTGCTATTCAAATTATAGATAGGCCTGAGAGTAGATTAGATGCAAGGTTTGCCACAAGATTAATCTATTTTGTCATACTTTTCAGCAGTATTCACTCTATCATGCATTATGAGACTGGGTATGAGATTGTGTAAGACGGCAATACTGATTTAAACCAGGTGGAGTTTCACTTAGTTGGAACAGACCTGTCAAGCTCTAGCTTGCACCAAAGGTGCCAGAACAGCTACCAATTGCAGAACATTAGGATGTCAATCAAATCAGTGCCAACAACTGTAATGGCCTAATCAAACTAGTAACAAGGGCAGACAGCTTGGATCTGTTTCCTCTTGTGTTATTAACTCTCCATAGCTGAACAAGCACAGCAGTGAGTAATGGTGGGTGACTGATCGTGATCATCCACACTAAATTACACACAAATCCCATACCTCCATAATTGAATTGCCTCAAAAACACATAGTTTGAATGAGTGGGAAGACCTGTGTAAATGTTTAAAATCAAACAGTTATTTTACTGTGAAGTAGACTCATACTGTACACTTGTAAGCTGGATGAGTGGGTGAACCAAGTGAGGGTTGTGTGCATTTAAAATCACAGTTGGTACCAATTTCTGCAACATAAACACGCAAAAGATACGTTACAATAAAGCAGTCATTAAAGTGAGTGAGACAGAATGAGGGATGGCTGATGGAGGGAAATATGCAGTGAGCATAGGGAACTGGAGAACAGAAATGACTGAGGAAGGGGACCTGCAAGATAAATGATCATGAGAAAGGCAAGGAAAGGAAGAGTTTGTGAGGGCGTAATTAGGAATGGTTAACTGCATCCTTCATAGGCATCAAGCTTTATAAAAAAGGTTTAAGAGAAATACAAGGAAGAAGAGCAGAGAGGCAGGTAGGATGGCAGAGACCAACAACAAGAGCAATGTACTATAAAAGATAGAAATAGAGAAGCAAAATGAGTTGGGGTGAAGGAAATTGCATTAGTTACAGAGAATGATGGACAGCTAGAGCAAATGATAGAAAGGCAAAGTGGGCGGGTGGTGGTGGTGAAGCAAATGCTATAAATCATGAAAAAACTGAGAGCAAACAACATCACATTGTTTGTATAGCATTTGGTGCATTCACATGGGTTTAGAAAGAGTGATTATGGAGTGAGTACAATGTGCGGAGAGAATACGGCCATGAGTATGTCTGAGAAAAGAACAGGTGAATTGAGTGCTGCATGAGGGAATTGGAATGGGGGAATAATCAATATCAGAGATAAATACTGAATGACAGAGGGTGAAAAATGGAAAGACTGACAGGACTGAAGTGTCTGTGTATGTACTGTAAGTTATAGCTAATCATTGTTTCTGCTGTGCGTTGTGGGAGGATGGAGAACATGAAGTATCAGATTACAGCATATCTATTTTTAGGAGGCTCAGGAGATTGCATGCACTTTCTTTTGTTTGTTTGTATATATTTGGCAGACTCACTGAACTGGATAATAGGGAAATCTAAGTTCTAAGAGTGGGATGGCCAGGTAGTGCAGAGACCTCCTATTGAACAGATTGTTTTGTTCAATGCTATTGATTAGGAAGGCTAAGATACTGCTGCCCATTGGTGCACACACACATCACACCAGTCACGTCTGTATTGTTTGACAGTGAGAAAGCTTCCATATTTAGCTGCCCGGTTAAACTGTGACAAGCAGGATTTGATCCTCCATGATTTCAGTGACACTTTGACTGCCTTATTAATTTACAGCAGATGACAGATGCATAATTTAAAATGCAAAAAGTAGTTAACCAATTCTATCTGTATAATGAAATTAAAATAAATTCATGAAGTCAAGGCCAATTAATTTGTCCTAATGTATAACCTGTTTATCAGGAGCCAGGTTTAATTAGTGTAAGCTTCATCCAAATCGGGAATTTTGAGGCTCACCAACATTCTGATGATGCTAAAAAACCATTTGTTAACACCATGGTCACAGAGACTATATTGTCTTTCTGTCACGATGTCTGCAGAATGTGCTATGCAGCAGTTATTGACTGCATTGCAACTTGATGGACTATGAAATTTAATTAAAAGAGCAGGTGAAACAATGTCTGAGACTGAACTGAAACCTGTGATTACCTGTCTTTGCTCATTTATAAACTGAGTATATTTGGATTTTGGATTGTTGGTCCGAAAAAATGCAACAGTTGGACTGAGGGAAAACAGATTTTTTTTTTGACAAAACTAACCAATTAATTACTTGATTAGTAATCAATCAAATGATCTACATATGCATCAATAATGGAGGTAAACTTTAGTTGCAGCCGTAAAACAGAGCACACAATAAACATATTCCTAATCACACGAGTATGAACGTATTGTAACACAGTCAACACAAAAGTCCATGCTAGAAAGTGATCTTTTGCAGATTTTCTTGCACCACTGATTAAATTGTGTCTCAAAACAACAATAATGTTGCTACTGCCAAACCAGGAGAACAATAATCTACTTAAGCCTTAATAAGAAGGGATAAACATTCAGTTATTAACCAAATGTATACTGCTTATAATCAACAGATTGTTGTGGATTTATACATCATTTTACTGTCACTCTTATGACTAGTCATGATTATGTTCTACCTCAGAATGTCATGGCAAACACAAGCAAACCTATAGTGTAATTAAAAATGTAGCACCTCAGGTGCTACTTTTGACAGTCTTGTCAAATAAAGTAGGTGTTGTTGGAAACGGTTTACTGGGATCGTCCTGGGGGAGTTTAAATGGTGTGAACTGGAAAGAGCAGTTTTGTCTGACAGTTTTTGAAGGAACAGAGGCTGTCATGATGTCTAGAATAAATATACTAAAAACTAATCTAGAATACTGAGACATAAAAGAAATACAGCTAGATGTGGATAAGAGAACAGGCGTACAGTATGTATGCTTAGAATATGCTCTATAACAACAGAGTGTTGTTGAAGATTATTTAAAGAAACTACAGTGAATCTGACATGAGTGCATCACTTTGACTGGAGACTGCAGATAGAACACAAACCTTCAGTTTTGGCATTAAGTCCCAATTCAGCCAACAAGCCTAAATGATACAAGAATGATACAGTTATTAACCTTTATTCTGCCTCACTGGTATTATTACCATAATCAAAGTAAAAATACAATGTGCTGTTCCTAAACAGTGGATGTTGTAGCGATAATGCAACCTTGAAACCAAAACTACAATTTACCACTGGATAAACTCCACTTTGATATTCTTTCTGAAACATCAAACAGTTACTGGTGGGGAAAAAAACAAAAATCCCTGGTGCGCCTCCGGAAAATGTCAGCTCACCATGTACCCACATGATGATAGGGCCCATTATGAGCTCACAGCATTGTGCAATTTTGTTCAGCTTCTGAGCAGAGTCATGATCTACCTCTCCCTTTCCTCTCTGTAGCCTGGCTGTATTGTAAAGTTTTAAAGTTGTTTTTTAAGTGAGAATTGTGCTCAGTAGCAGTTTGGCTATAGAATTACTCTGCAATTCAACTGTGTAAGCTGTAATCACAGAGTTATACAGTATATACCTACAAAAATATTCTGCTAGTTCTATCAGTCTATTTTGTTTTTTGTCTACATAAGGCAGCACAGGCAACACAACTAATAAACCTCTCTCTCATGTCATTTTTGTGTACTGATGCAAGTGGGCTAACGCTGTTTTGTAATGAAAAACCCAAGCATTTTATATGGATGCCAAAGGCACCCTTGAGCATCAATGTGAGACACACAAGGTACTTGACAAGACGTCAGAATTTGACGCCATGGGAATGAGAACATGTTGGAGATTCACTCTGGTTTACCACTACCGGATCAGTTGCCTTTTTTTTTATTTTTTTTTTTTTTATGATCTTTGTATCCAGTTTCATTAACTGCTCACTTATTTTTGTCTTCCAGCTGCCCTGTTCCCAGTGGAGGATAATGGAACGGCTGTGGATCTCTTTGCTGGTGCTGGCAGTAGCATGCAGGGGGCAGCCATGTCCGAAACGCTGTATGTGCCAGAGCCTTTCTCCATCGCTCGCTATCCTCTGCTCTAAGACAGGACTGCTGTTCGTTCCTGCTGCCATTGACCGACGCACTGTGGAGCTACGGCTTCAAGAGAACTTCATTACAGGTAACGTACTATATCTGCCAGTGTGTCCTTTATTCTATTCAATGAAGTATACCACTGAAATTCAAATGGTGCACGTAGTATGTTAGTCACAACATACTATCACGAATTGCTCCATTTACAGTGTTTACTATTATACTCACAAGCCACTTTATTAGGTACACTTGTACAGTTGTACTGTATGTGAATCAATGCAAAACTTCCACCTTAAAATCTGTGTTTATGAAGCTCAAAATGTTTCAGTTTTTGGTGAAATTGTCATGAATGTATAAATTAAACTATTCGTTTATCATTGAGGTCATAGTTAAAGGTGGTGTTGTACTAGATTACATTATATTCAGAGGTGTTCTTAATATTCTGACCCTCTCATGAACAGGTATGTAGCTGGGGAAGCCAAAAATACAGAGACACCTCTGAACACCACCTTTAACTATGACCCTAATGATAAACATACATTTGAATTTATACATTTATGACAATTTCACCATTTTGAGCTTCATAAACACAGATACTAAAGCGGAAATGTTGCACTGAAGTGTATACAGTTGTACCTAATAAAGTGGCCAGTGAATGTATCTCACTGCTTGATATGCTTGGATTGGTTGTTTAAATGGAAACAAATGCTGTAGCTGGTTGATAATTGGCAGCATATGTACTTTATTTTGGAACAATTCTGTCTGCGGATTTCTTTTTAACTTTCATCCTTTTTTGTTTGTTTGGTAGGTCAATCTCATAAATCTCATTCATGATTAACTTCCTCCTTATATCACAGAGTTTTCTATTATACTTTGAAATGTACTTATTTTTAAGAACTGAAGTGTTTCTTTATCTTTTTACTTTAATCTGGGTCCCCATTAGGTCTCGCCAAGGCCACCTAATCTTCCCAGGCTTGACTAAAAAGAAACTGTTCCATAGCTGACGAAAACAAAAGACACACAAGCTATAAAGAGACTACTTTCACAGGGTCCAGAAAGATAATTTGATGTGCCATTACAAATATCACACAGCTATATTTATTTAAGTTACATTGTTCACATCCAAATCAAGTTTAGTCTATCACTACACAAAACTAATATTCTGTATCTCATTTTGAGCAAAGCCAGATTATGTGTGGGTCCTTGCGTCTGAATGCAGGAAGCTAATTAGGCATGGATTTGTCAATCTAAATATGAATATGAATATTTTTCAGAAACAAGTAAAGGCAGACTTCATTTCCTCCCAGAAAAAAGATTTTATAAAAAGCTACGGCACCTCACAAATCCAAGTCCTCCACTTAAATGAAAGCATTTCTTTCTGGGGCCAGGCAATCATTTGTGCACATTCTGACTTCTCTTTCTTTATCTAATACTGTGCATATATAATATATCTAGTTACTTAGAACTTTAGGTTGATGGGGTCTTTTTGTGGTTATTCCTCTTACTCCCAGCTGTCCGAAGAAAGGATTTTGCCAATATGACCGCCCTGCTACATCTGACCCTGTCTAGAAACACCATCAGTCAGATCCTCCCTTCAGCTTTCAGTGACCTGCGGCGATTGAGAGCACTCCATCTGGATTCTAATAGATTAACTGTGATCAAGGTAAGCTTGATGGGTGGATGACTGTATTGATGGTGAATGGAAGGGTCATCAGATGGATCACTGGACTAATAAACAGACTTAAAAGCCTTAGAGTCTAAAACTGTATGCGTGGTTATTGGATACACACTACTGAAAGATAGAGCAACTACTGAAAGATATATTCTCTCTATACTATATATAACAATACAGTAGATAGACCCATTATCTGTATAATGACATTACTCTGTTTCTCACAGCATTTTCACTTTTTCGCCAACTAGGATGATCATTTCAAAGGCCTGACCAACCTTCGCCACCTGATCCTGGCCAACAACCAGCTCCACTCCATATCTCCCCATGCCTTTGACGACTTCCTGTCCACACTGGAGGATCTAGACCTCAGTTACAATAACCTTGCAGAGGTGCCCTGGGACACAATCGGGTTCTTGACCAACGTCAATACCCTAAATATGGATCATAACGTCATAGAAAATGTTCCCCAAGGGGTATTCACCAACCTACACAAACTGGCCAGGTAAATGTGTAGATAGCCTGAGGTATGGACACATGGGTGGATTATGTGTGTAGAGATAGATAATGCACAGTGATCTTAATAATTAAATACAATATATTCAACAAGAAATTTAAAATATCCTTAATATTCAAAATAACATGCTCTCCTGTACGTGAAGCACTGGCTGGTTTACTGATCAACCAAATGAATTATTATAGAGCTAATAATAATACCCCCCTTTCACCTGTCCTTCCTACACCCTATCCTTTAACAGGCTAGACATGACATCCAACAAGCTGAAAAAAATTCCTCCAGACCCATTGTTCCTGAGAATCCCAGTTTATGCCAAGTCCAAAGGCTCCCCCCTCTCCTCCCTGGTGTTGAGTTTTGGTGGTAATCCCCTTCACTGTAACTGTGAGCTTCTGTGGTTGAGGAGACTAACCAGAGAGGATGACCTCGAGACGTGTGCTTCTCCACCTGACCTCAGTGCCAAATACTTCTGGACAATACCTGAAGAGGTGATGTTTTTCATGTGTGTTACGCAGGAAACTAATAAAGAAAGTGACTTTGAATCTGGGACAAACTTTTAATAATGAAACTAATATACCAGTAAAAATATTACATTTGTAAGTCTGACCTTATCTGTTTTACCCTTTTAGGAGTTTATTTGTGACCCACCAGTTCTGACCCGTAAGTCACCTCATACTGTGGCTATGGAAGGCCAGCCTGCCAGCCTAAAGTGCAAAGCAAACGGTGACCCAGAGCCTGAAGTCCACTGGATTAGCCCTGAAGGACGACTTATATCCAATGGCTCCAGGTATTAACATTTTCCTATAGCCTAGTGTGAAATACAGAACACTACTTTTCTCCCTACCCCAATAGAGCATACAGTCTTTCAAAATAAAAGCCAAGGTGTTGACGTGCCAACTGAATGCACCCTTCCATACTCAAAGGCGTCAGCAATCTGGCAAACCTGTTGGCACATTCAAGAGAGGGGTTGTTTAAATACTACTTCCTGTATGGCTCCAGCTCAAGCCCAAGTCAAAAAGGTAGTGTGTCTGACATAATTTATGTTTTGGCTGTAGTAGTAGGCTGTAGCTACATGACGCATGTAGGCCTGGAACAGGATTAGAAGGTAGCTGCTGAGGTCGGAATCTGAATCTGAAACCTAGTTGGCACATACAATATGTCTACAATAGTTGTTTCAAATACAACATTAGTTATAAAATCAATACTTTTTTTTTTTAAAGAAAAGGTCATAACTCTTAAATTCCTTGCTTAGGTGCTCTTTGATTCAGTATTTGTGTTTGCATCTTTATATATTTTGATCAGGAAAGGTTTGTTTATCGATGTAGAGCATCGTTTTAACACTTCAACAAGGTAGTCACGGTGTAGTCTGGATGGATGCTCGTGGTGGAAACTGGCATCAGTATCAGGTGCTGGGGGCAACAAAGTGCAGGTCAGAGTAAATGGGTTGATAAGAAGAACACTGATTACCAATTGGCTCCCATGAAGGTAACAAAGAAGGAGGGTTTAATGAGTTACCTCTTAAATTTAAACTGACAGATCAATTGTGGATCATTTTGCAACTGCTGGCTACTGAATGTGTCCTGCTCCTTTATTCAATAAAATAATGGGGGTGCAATTTTTTGTCAAATGGCACCATATTCGTGGAATGGTATGGCCTGGCCCAGTTTAATATGATTCTGCCAACTCAAGTTGCAGAAAATTACTATTGGAAATCTGAATGGCTCGGAGCCAGTTTATTTGGCTTGAAGTCGAGAAAATGGGAAAAAAATCGTCACTGTTTGAACTATTGTAAAGCTCCCTATATGTTTTTATTTTGTTGTAATATACATGCAACATAAATGTCAGTTAATATATCAATTAATTTGTGGAATTAATAACATTATGGCATATCTCAATGTCACTTTGTTTCAGAACCTTAGTTCTGCCCAATGGAAGCCTGGAGATCAATGTAACATCCCTGAAGGATTCGGGTAACTTCACTTGCATTGCCTCTAATGCAGCAGGTGAATCCACGGGAAGGGTGGAGCTTGTTGTCACGGCAATACCCCATCTGGCAAACAGCACAAGCCGCAGTCGAGACCAGTCCTCTGAACCTGCCCCTTCTGACATTCTAACCTCCTCTAAGGTTGCGCTGCCAAACAACGAGACAAGGGGGGTAGACCGGAGGGTGTCATTGGTAGAACTGAAAGGAAACTCTGCCCTCATCAGATGGAGCAGTCAGACTCCTACATCTGGAGTCAGGATGTTCCAGATCCAGTACAACAGCTCTGGGGATGATGCACTGGTTTACAGGTCAGTCTATCTATATTTCCAGTTTATAATCTGTGAGTCTGTGTTCTAGCTTTCTCTGTAGAACAATGTCTGTGGTGACTTCTGCAAACCTTTTAAGGCATAGTAGTAAAATTCCTTCATGTACCTGTATGTGTTTGTAAGTGTGTGTGTGTGTGTGTGTGTGTGTGTGTGTGTGTGTGTATGTCCAGTTGTGTGCAAGTTATTCAGCAGATATGAGCCACTGCTGTGAGAATGAGGACACATGACGGATGATACCAATGGAGATTAGCCAGTTATCCAGGCATAAAGGTCTAATCAACTGAAATGATATAGACATCTGTAGTAGAACAGGACGATTGCCAGGAAAGCCTGGGCCAAGTGTAAGGAATCTAGCTGGTTAACAAATTTTGATGCTTGTCTGTCAGCTTGCTTCAATGTTGCATCACTTGGCTGAAGTTTTTCCTGTGCAGTTTCACTTCTGGAATTTACATTACAGCTTTATAACAAGTTGCATTTCTATGTTTTGTGGGGCCTCACTTGACACTGTCATTATCTTTTAAGATTTCACTCAGACTGATACTCTTTTGATTCAGGTGACTGTCAAACTACTACAACCTTTATTGGTTAAAGTTCTCAAAGTTCTCATTTAGAAAGAGGGAAGGCATCTGCAGTAGGTAAGACTGTGTGTACAACAATCATCCCCCCCCCGGAATAAGCAGTATAGATAATGATAGATAATGGATGGATGGATAAATGTATATTCGATTTTTATTTTATTTTAATCTATTTTATTTTATTTCCTTTGACTTAAAGAGAAACTATAGCCTCAAATTCTACCAGTCCCCACAACAGAGGAGAGCAACAATTGTATGTGGCAATATAGTGTGTGATACTGAGGGTCAGGGAACACGGGGAGACTGACCACTGCACAAGAGAGTGAGAGCTAACCAGCCATGAGAAGCTACTGCCATACTAATCTTTTCTCTGATGGAAATGCAAGGATTCTGGTGGAACACTGACACTCACTAGTAGACCAGCATGTTTCTGTCCTTCTGACACAGTCACCTGGATACCTGTGTTGTAAGAAGCCCTGCTCCGAAAAGCTCTCTGATGTGTTTGTCTATCAGGGAATATCAGTACTTAGCAGTAAAACCCTTCTGTTTACCATAGCTAACATTAATGTTTGTCAGCCCTTAAGATACGGTTGAGCTCTGAATACAGAATTATCAGCATGCCTGTGCTGTGTTTACTGCCACTGCGTAAGAACAGATCTTGTACATATTTTTTCAACTCTTATGTAAGTTGCAAATGTTAATATCATCAGCAGGCAAGCTGAGGCTGCAGAAAAACAGTGTTCTTCTAGCCATACCTGGTGTAGCAGCTCCTGTCAGAGGGGTCACCAGTTGAAAGAGACCAGTCTTGCCTGTTTCATCGCAGTTAGGGAGGGGCTGGGGATTCAGCCGAACCAAGCTTGCAAAATCAAGCAGATAATAACTAGCTAAGCTTAACCAGAAAAAAGTCATCACCATAGACAATATGAATTTTGAATCACCTATATTTACATCGTATACCAACAACTCCCTATGTGATTAAGATTATCGCCCCCCCACCCAAAAGAAAAAAACAAATAAAAACTACTACTGCTAATATCAGTAATAATGATAATTTGGATATAGTTAGTCTTAAAACAGAAACAGAACATGCACTCTATTTGGGTTACAGCATGCTGCATCTTTCACACACTGACAGTGGTGGAAAGTAACTAAGTACATTTACTCAAGTACTGTACTGTACAATTTTGAGGTATCTGTACTTAACTTGAGTATTTTACTTTTATGCTAGTTCATATTTCAACTTCACTACATTTCAGAGGCAAATATACTTTTAACTCCACTAAAACTATTTTACAATTTCAGTTCCAGGTTGCTTTTCAGAACCAGAGACAACAATTACAGTGGGTACGAAAAGCATTCAGACTCCCTTAAATTTTTCACTCTTTGTTATATTGCAGCCATATGCTAAAATCATTTAAGTTCATTTTTTTCCTCATTAATGTACACACAGCACCCCATATTGACAGAAAAACACAGAATGTTTGACATTATTGCAGATTTATTAAAAAAGAAAAACTGAAATATCACATGGTCATAAGTATTCAGACCCTTTGCTGTGACACTCATATATTTAACTTAGGTGCTGTCCATTTCTTCTGATCATCCCTGAGATGGTTCTACACCTTCATTTGAGTCCAGCTGTGTTTGATTATACTGATTGGACATGATTAGGAAAGCCACACACCTGTCTAAGACCCTACAGCTCACAGTGCATGTCAAAGCAAATGAGAATCATGAGGTCAAAGGAACTGCCTGAAGAGCTCACAGACAGAATTGTGGCAAGGCACAGATCTGGCCAAGGTTACAAAAAAAAATTTCTGCTGCACTTAAGGTTCCTAAGAGCACAGTGGCCTCCATAATCCTTAAATGGAAGACGTTTGGGACGACCAGAACCCTTCCTAGAGCTGGCCGTCCGGCCAAACTGAGCTATCGGGGGAGAAGAGCCTTGGTGAGAGAGGTACAGAAGAACCCAAAGATGACTGTGGCTGAGCTCCAGAGATGCAGTCGGGAGATGGGAGAAAGTTGTAGAAAGTCAACCATCACTGCAGCCCCCCACCAGTCGGGGCTTTATGGCAGAG